TTAGGGTTCAGGGTTTAAGGTTTCAGCAGGGGACGCCGTGGACAGGAAGGCCGAAGATTTGAATATAAACACAAGCTGAATATTTAAATACAGGGGCCCCCCATTGCTCCAAGATCCAAGATTGCAGAAAAAAGCTTCTTGGATCCATCTAGGATCCGGGATGTAGAAAAGTTAAATATTCAAGTACGGTTTAGGGTTTAGGGTTTAGGGAAAAAAATTCTGGAATCTTGGATCTTGGAGCAAGGGGGGGTTAGCCCAGATACTCATAAAATAGGGGCCGAAATAATCAGAATAGGGTTTTAGGGCCCATTATACTATAATTTTGTTTTTATTCAGGAACCCCCCAAAATAGTATAGGTAATTATTTAGGTCCTTAATTTTTTTTTATTTGCTGAGAGGTTTCAATAGATCGATCCCTGCAGCTCGAACTCTGGAGCTGGTGTTTCGGGCCAGGCCTTTGGGGCTTTAGGCTTTAGGGGTTTAGGGTTTTAGGGTTTGGGGTTTAAGGTTTAGAGTTAGAGAAGCCCCTTTTCGGGTTTAGGGCTTTAGGGGTTTAGAGCTTTAGGGGCTTAGGGTTTAGGGGTTTAGTGTTTAGGGTTTAGGGGTTTAGGGTTTAGGGGTTTAGTGTTTAGGGCTTTAGGGGTTTAGGGCTTTAGGGGTTTAGGGGTTTAGGGTGTATGGGTTTAGGGGTTTAAGAGAGAGGAGCCCCAATAGGGTTTAGGGTTTAGAGTTAGAGAAGCCCCTTTTCGGGTTTAGGGTTTAGGGGTTTAGGGTTTAGGGCTTTAGGGGTTTAGGGCTTTAGGGGTTTAGGGTTTAGGGGTTTACAGGTTTAGGGGTTTAGGGTTTAGGGCTTTAGGGGTTCAGGGTTTAAGGGTTTAAGGGTTTAGGCCTGAAAGTGTAAGAGGGTTGCTTTTTTTTTGTTGTGTGCGCTTGTGTGGTCTTGGCTTGCTTTCTTCGCGTGTTAGGCGTATTTTGCTAATTCTTGAGGTGAGGCTTCCTTTTCTTCATTGAGGATGGTGTAGGGTTTCGTGTAGGCTTCAGGACTGACGCTTATGGTTTTTTTCGGATTTGTGGCTCGGGCTGTGAGGCTTCAAATCTTGGGTTATCTAGGGCTTTTAGGCTGTGTCTATGCGTTCGTAAGCCGTCCTACTTCTGCAAGAACCTCGCTCTCTTTTTGTTCTCGGAACTGTGCCTTGGACTACTCCTAATAAGGGGGCGATCGCGGTTTGGTGCAGGTTTTTTTTCAGCTGGGCAACCGAACGTTTCCAGGACTTCATCATCTCAAACGAGAAGCGAGTTTGCCCATCGTACACGGCATCGTCTAGCCGGGATAGCACATTGAGAGGTTTCTCTCCAAGTCAGGAAGGTTCGTTTTCAAAGGCTCCTGAGAAAACATGGTCCTTTGCCGGAACATGTCAGGCGGCCATCGCACTGGGAGAGAAAACTCTCCATGTCCTTGCAAAGACTCGCAAGACCATATATTGTACAAGTGTGTAGAAGTTTGCCTGATATGGGGGCCTTCCTGATTAGAGCAGGCTCTTGAGCCCGGGGTATATTGGAGTGTATTGACAAGGGGATACGCACTCTTACTGACGGAGCAGCTCCGGGCAAGACATTTAGGGGCACTGCGCCGGGATTGCTCCATTTTGTCGTGCTCCCTCCGGTTTAGAGGTTTTGGTTAGGGTTGACTCAGACAAACAGACAGACAGAGAGAGAGAGAGAGAGAGAAAGAGAGAGGGAGAGAATATCAACGGTTTCACAACATCTTGGACCTGGAGTCACAAAAATCCCAAGCCCGCAGAGCCCGTGATGACATGTTATCACATCCCGAGCTCTCCCTTTACACGCCTCTAAACTGACATGGAACCCGAAACAGCCCGTCTGATGAAGTACGGCAGATCTGCGATATCCCGGCTTGCAGCTGCCATGTTTCGCTAGGAAAAGGCACACCCGGAGTCTTCTTCCTAAGCCTTAAACCTTATCAACCCTAAACCTTAAACCCTAAGCCCTAAACCCTATAAGCCCTATAAATCCCAAGCCCTAAGCCCTAAACAAGTAGAGGCTTTCCCATGCACTACTTGTGTAAGCTTAGCTAAACAGACTTTAGAATCGAGCTTGCTTGAGCTCCGGAGTTGATTGCTGTCTTACCTTTTAAAACCCTGCCTATAGTCTCCATTGTAGTCCCTTTTTGGGGATACCTTATAAAATCCTTAATATATATTTGGTTAAACAAAAAAGGAACTACAATGGAGACTATAGGTAAACCCTCAACTCCCTAAATCCTTCTGTTACACGGCTCCTTTCAGGATTTATGCCGCGGGCTCTTTATGGCTGAGGGGTCGGAGGGCGATAGGCCTGAGACTTCAGCTTCAGTCGAGACTCGAGCATCCCAAACCCTCTCTGGGGGCCTAACGAACCCAAACCCCTAAACCCTAAACCCTAAACCCAAACCCCTAAACCCTAAACCCTAAACCCTACACCCTAAACCGTAAACCCTAAAACCTAAACCATACACCCTACACACTAAACCCGGGATCCGCCTGGCCGCAGACAGCGCGCCGGACTGCAATGCAGGACTAGACAGCCCTGAACCCGTGAAGCCTGAACCAATATAGGGGCCTTCATACTTGGAATAGGGTTCCTTTGAAGGGTTCCTCAAAATGTTCTACAAGGGATCTATGGGGTTCTATATTAGGGGCCTTTCTAGTTGAGAACACGGTTTTGGAGCCCATGCATACTATGATTATAGTAAGAAGCCCCAAAATCGTATAGGTAATCATTTAGGCCCCTATATTAGGATGCTCTATAGGACTGTAGGATTGAAGGGTTATGGTCGTTTTGGCTTTGAAAGGTGTAGCGGTAAGAGTGGTTTGCTTTTGGCTGTCGTTGTTTTGCCTGCTGTCGTCCCCGGGACGCGTTTCTACGAGGCCGGGGTTCACTCGCTCACTGGCTTGCTGGGTTTGCGCACAGACAGCAGGACAAACAGCAAAATAACACACGGGTTCCGAGGTTTGGCCATGGGTGCCAGGGTTTAGAGCATAGGGTTATAGACCCTGGAGACCGCTGCATCATCAAAGGCAACCCTCAGCCCTAAACTCCGACATAATAATAATAATAACATTTTTTCAATAATATTAATATTAATAATATTAAAAACACTATTAAGAATAACCATAATAATATACATTTAAAAAGTCATGATAATGATAAAGGATTCACGAAGTTGGGGCTTAATTCCTACATCTAGGGTTTAGGGTTTAGGGCTACTACATCGCCAAATGTAAGACCAAGGCCCTCACCTAAACTCCACAAAAGAGGTGCTCAAAGGCCGGAGCCTTAGATGCACCTCAACATGAGCCTGTTATTTTTTGTGCCCCGAGCCGGGACTAACGGGTCCCAGTTGACAGATATCCTGGGTCCTATATAGGTTCAAAGCTCCAAAACCTAAATCGTAGACGAATCGGAAGGGCTCTTGATGTCAAGAGGCGGGAGTTTCCGAAAATAGGGGACCCTAATATAGTACCCTAAATAGTAGGACCCTTGTTATAAGGACCCCCAAATAAGGTCCCCTATTTTTTGGAAACTCCCAGGTGTAGCAGCTGAGAGGCAAGCCTCGCAACCCGTCTTATCTAGTTAGATGTATCCCTATATGGGGGTTTCCGAAAATAAGGGGTACCTTATTTAGGGGGTCCTTATAATCAGGATCCTACTATTTAGGGTACTATATTAGGGTCCCCTGTTTTCGGAAACCCCCATATCTTTCTGGTTGCTACTCATTTGCTGTTGCTTAGTACTCCCCCCCGTTACAATATGCATCAGCCCCGGTACTCCGGCTTAAAACAATCCGCCATGGAGGATCTTGGTGTGGCAAGTGTGGACAGTGTGCAGAATGAGCCCGGTGCTGGCCGGACGAACTTGGAGAAAGAAACTTAATGCATCCGGATGGAAGCCCGGGCCTTAGTTAAACCTTAAACTTAGACCCTAAACCAACCCTGTGTAAAGACCCTAAGCCGCAAACCCCTAAGCCCTAAGTGCCCTTTCCTGAGCCGTGCTCCAAAGCAGCAAACGAACAAACGGCGATGCCGTGAGGCCAAGGCATACGTTTTGGGCTACCAAAAGGGCCACTATACGGGCTACCACAAGAGTTATATACTACAAATTCTAAACCCTAAACTACACACTCCGAACCCGAAACTGTCACAAATGCACTCAGAAGCCATAAAAACCATCGAGACTTTTCACAGCTGCCTATAGTGGCCGTTCTAGTTTCTCTTTTTTGGGTTGACCTATTCTCTATGGTTGGGATCCGAATAGAAGAAGGTTGTCCAAAAAAGGAACTACACTCGAAAGCCGTAACTATGACCTACAAGCAGCAACTGCACCCACCCTTAACCCTAAACTCTCAAACCCTAAACTTGCCCTAAACCTTTGCTCGGTGCGCCCGGCCTGACCACCGCAAGCAATCCGCCAGAGTCCAATCACCTCCGAGATCTCTAGGCTTTTCAAGACTTGCAACAGTAAGGGTCCCAAAGTCAGCGGGCGGGCAAAATAACCTTCCGGCATCATCAGGTTCGACCAAACTTCAAAGAAGAGTCACTTGATGCCAGATATGCCGCCACCCCACGGGAGGTGGCGCCATCTTAGCATAGACTAGAAACCGCTAAGCTGGAAGACGCGCCCTATGCACCTTTAAAATTTAAGACCCTGAGACGAAACGCCTGGCAAAGAAGGCGTCCGTCGCGAAGCAACGACGCACGCAGGCGCCGGCCGCGATGACGCCTGGCGGAGGCATGCAGCCCTTAACATCAGGGTTCGATACACCCTAAGGGTCCATGTACCCAAATAGTATATACTTTGGCCCCAAAGTACCTATATGGGGACTACTTTAAGGCCAAAGTATATACTATTTGGGTACATGGACCCTTAGGGACAGTTTCAGGGAGGCTCCTTTTAGTGTACCGCATAGCTTTGCACGGCTACTATAACAAGGTTGACCAAGGGCGCTTTGAGGTGTCCATAAGGCTGATAGAACTCTAGAAACCTTCTTTTCTGCAAGGGTTCTGTAAGGGCCCAGAGACACAGAGAAGGGTAATGAAACTAAAAAACCTGAATTCACACGCCATGCTTGTTATAAGGCCCCATCATTTCGGGACCCGAGTTTCAGGAAGGCTCCTGATACGATGATGCTGTCGCAGACCTTTGGGCCAATGCCTTTGGAGTCAGTACAGCTTCAATGGACTTCAGCGTAAACCTTGTACCGTAACCCCCAAGCGATCTTCAGCAGGAAGCCACTGGGGCAATGAGCTACCTACCGAAGTCAGTCTGGGGTTTAGCTCCCGAAATACCCTAAACCCCAAAACCCCAAACCCTAAACCCCAAACCACGAATTCGTGAACCATTACCCCCCAAAACTACTGCCCAATGAACCCGCGCAGGCCTCTCGCCAATACCATCGCCGGGACTACCTGCCACTCATCAGCTCAGATCTGCCCTTTAAGCCCAATACCCTGGCCCAAAAAAGTTTAAACTCTTCTTTTAGTAGGGGTTTCATATACCAAAACAGTTTAAAGTTTACCTATTGGGCTCCTAAGCTGCTTTGGGGCACAGGTGCTTTGCAAAAACGACGTTGATCTTGGCATCGAAGTTGACACGGCCAAGATAGATGTTCACCCCAAGTCCCTGCCTACAGTACCCTCTTCGACCCTCAACCCTAAACCCATGGCAAAGCCCCCGAAAGCCGACCACCTCGATAACGCCTCCTGAAGACACCGAAAGGCTTGCACCCCGGCTCCCCAAACCCCACATCCCGACACCCCAAAAACTCCAAATCCCTGAACCCTGAACCTCTAGGCCCTAAAGAGCCTAAACCCTGACCCTCCAGGTCCTGCCTTAAAGCCCTAAACCCTGAAGACTCCCACAGCACTGAGCATCCGGCACGCCGCAACATGCCACCTTGAGAATCCGAGGGCCCCACAGGAGCGGAATTCAGACTTGAAAGGGTTTCGGCTTTGAGGTTTAGGGTTCAGGGTTTAGGGTTTCGGTCTTTAGGTTTAGGGTTCAGGGTTTAGGGTTTCGGTTTTTAGGTTCAGGGTTCAGGGTTTGAGGTTTTTCGGTTTTGAGTTCAGGTTTTCGGGTTGAGGGACTTGGAAACTTCTGTGCGTGGAACTTGACCCGGCCTGAAGTGGCAACCACCGGGCTGTCGCGAGACGGCTTGGATCAAAGGAGATCGATATGGCGCACTGCTCGCCGGCAGCTGTCCCCATGGGTTCGTTGTACCCATGCAGTATATACTTGGACCCGGAACTACGTACATGTGGCCTAGGTCCTAGGTATATGTAAGTAAGTAAGTATGTATGTATGTATGTATGTATGTATGTATGTATGTATGTATGTATCTATGTATGCATGTATATCTGTCTAAGCATGTCTTATGTATGCGTGTACATATATATATATATATATACACACACATACATACATACATACGCACACACACACACATCCTTTCCGAGGTACAAGGATGTCTGCTTGCCTCAGAAAGACTCCGAACGCAAAGCACGTAAAGCACGGAGCCCTAACCGGCCCTAACCCTAAACCCTAAACTCCCCCTAAGCCTAAACCGTAAACCCTAAACCCTAAACCCCAAATCCTAAGCCCTAACCCAAAACCCAAAACCCTAAACCCACTCTAAGCCTAAACCCTAAAGCCCTGCGGGGTTTTGAAGTTACAGGCAGAAGCCGAGGCGGCGGCGAGAGAAGACATCGCAGCTTCTGCGACTGCCGGCAAGATGGAGACTGAACCCTTAAGGGCCTTAGGGTTCTGTATGGGCTTTAGCTTCAGGGGTTTAGGGGTTTAGGGTTTAGGGCAGTTTAAGGTTTGGGGTTTCGGGTTTAGGGCTCGAGGCAACAAACAAGGAGAAGCAACATTCAACAAAAACTCCCATCCCATATCGCTGAGGGGCCCCACATGGCCACAGGAACATTCCACCCAAAAGGGAGCCTAAACCTCTAGGCACCTTCTACTGCACCCGCCTTGGGACTACAGGGGCGACTCCGGGTGAACATCCCACAACCCTTGAACAAGGACGGTTGCCCTGGTTTTTGCGAGGGTTGTTGGCTGTGGATCCGCTGCCAGGTGGTTCCGATCCTAGCCAAGGTACCGGGACAATAACCGGAAACATACCTTAAGATAAGCTGCCGTAATGTTCCTAATCTGACACTAGAAACTCTGCAGACCGGTTGAGAATTGGATTATGACTCGGTGTAGGGGCTGGGGTTTAGGTCCATGCATGGATGCTGTGTCTCTGCTGGAATACGATTGGCAACACCACCGCTCGCTCCCATGTATCCTCTGGTAACTGAATCATCTTTGCTATTGAGCGATGGATTTCAGCCGACGTGCTCTGCATCTGGGAGGCAGACCAGTCTGTCGGGTTTAGGGTTTAGGGTTTAGGGTCCCCTAAACCTTAAACCCTAAACCCACGCAGGCGCATCTGGAATCCAACCTGGCCATGCTTGTCATCTCTGCAATCCTTGCGTCGAGCTCGTCCTCTGAGAGCATTGCAGAAATTGACCCAGTAGGTCCGGCCATAGTTCGAGCATTTGAGTCATAACTCCGGAGGAGTATCCGAGTGGTCACGTCTGCACTGAATTTCAATCTGAGCTTCCTGGCCTTGCCGGCGTCAGGTTTTGGACTGAGATCCACCAACCTCTTGACGAGACCCAGATATGCCCGCCTTGTTGCGTCCTTTGGGCTCAGGCCATCTATCAAGGGTCCGAATCTCAGAAATTATTCAAGCTATGTAGTCTTCTTTTCCCCCACCATGGTCGTAGAGTCGCGAGATTCCAAGTGCCATCAATCCGACCATTCAATCGGTGTCTCTTCCGCACACCAGCCAGTCAGCCCCCGGAGGCCTCGCAGTCTTCTGCAATTCTGACAAGATTTCTTCCAACGCCAATTCTGCATTTGATGATCTTGGTTGACGGTCGGTTCTTGTCACGTATGACCTGTAGAGCTCATCCTTCATGCCCGAATGGCATTTTGACAATGTCTATATCCGACGGGCGTTGTTGTCCGGCATTGTTGCTGGTGATGATGGTGGTGGTGGTGATGCTGCCTGTTGTTATCAATTACATCTAAGACCCGACTGTAGTACTGATCGTATAAAGGAAGTACGTGGCAAAGCGCAGAAGACTTAAACATAAGGTCCCTGGACGCATAGGGTAATGGTGCTTAGTAGGGAATGGTGGAATGGATCCCTATGATAGTCCCTTAAGGTCCCTTATAGTAGTATCCCTATAACCCATTCCCCCATTCCCTACTAAGCACCCCCTGAGCCTAAACCCTAAACCTATAAGATGACACATGTAGAGCCTATCTATGCCTACTAGACTAAACTGAACTTTGCTCTCTATCTAATATGATATACTATTATATTGCTTTCTTTTCCACGAGTCTGCCACAGCCGACTATTCGACAAGTCGGCCATCAACTCATCCCGAAGCAACATCGACCTTGGGACTTTATTAGGGTCTCTATTAGGGTTTTAGGTTTTTAGGGTTTAGGGTTTTAGGGTTTGGGGTTTTAGGCTTTCGGGTGTTTTTTTTATGTGAATCCTGAGATCTTGGGGATGTACGGCCAGGGATTTCTTAACCAGGTTCCTACTACACTAAATGGAGCCCACCGCAAGAGCTCGATCCCTGAACCCACAACCCTGCAATCCTACGCCCTTTGCAATCCTCCGAAGCCGAGAAACGCCCAAACCCTACACCTAAAGCCGTTTACCTTGACCCAGGATCTTTGAACCATGGCGCATTGAATGAAAACAGAAGCTGCATCATTCCGACCCCCAACCCAAACTCCAAACACACTGAATTAGTGTACGTTCTGTGTTGTACATTTTGTATTCTTGATTATGTAACAAATCTTCTCTACGTTAAACGAACTTTCTGGCCTCAATGCGTGCGGCTGTGCGCTGCTCCACCAGCCGCTGGACGACCGAGGCGTGCTTACCCCGCCGGAGGAGCGGTACACCTTTTCGGGTCAAGCGCCGTTCCGGCTTTAGGGCTCCAGGCTTCAGGCTTTAAACATGGTTCAGGATTCAGGGTTTTGAAGTCGGAGATTTTGGGCTCTGCAACTTTAGGGTTGTAGGGTTTACGATTTTTCATTCTGTGATGATGACTTGTATGCATATTAGCCATGGCCTGAAGCTCTGATGACTGTGTCGGTTGTCATTCGTCTTATCTTTGCAAGTCGCGTGTAGAGCTTCTGTTTTAGATATGGCATCTGCTTAAAATCCAAACCCTAGAAAGGCTGCGTGGGTCTACCCATAGGCTCCATTGTAGCTCCTTTTTGAAGTTTATATTTAGGATCCTATAAGGTAATCCCAAGAGGAACTACAATGGAGCCTATGGGTAGAGAGGGGTAAGGTTGCAGGGTTTTAGACTTCTCCTTGTATGCAAATGCCACAACCCAAAACGTGTGACCGAAACTCGAATAGCAAAAACACACAGAACAACACAAGCAGTCTACAACAATTCGTGCCGTGACAGTAGATGCGAGTTACCACTGCGTCATCATGAACCCTAAACCCTAAACCCTGAACACCTAAACCCCTAAACCCCTAAACCCTAAACCCTAAACCCTACTCACCTAAACCCCTAAACCCTAAACCATGTGAGGGCTCGGAGCCTGGAGGGGCATGACTGTCGGTACTCTTAGCCTTCAGTTCTGTGACCTTCGAGGTTCAGACGACTCCGGCATTCAGGGCCTAGCGTTTCAGCTTAAGTAGGCCCTGCATGAACACCAAACCCGAGTTGTTTCAAGGTCGTTACACGACGAAGCAGGGCTTGCGTCGCATTTCCGTGATAGCACTCCAAGTAAATAACACTCAACCACGTTGCATACCCTCACCAAAACAGAGCCCCTGCCCCGTATACGCCGGAACCCCTTGCAGCACCCTACAAATGCCCAAGAAGCAAAAAACGGCCTCACACCTTATTCGGTTTTGCAAGAAGAGTACCTATAGGATCATACCCGACCCCTTTTTTAAAGTACCTATTTTTTTATATAACAATTCCTAGCCATAAAACTAGGTACTGTACCTTAAAAAAGGGGTAGGGTATGACCCTTTAGGTAACGGCCCAGGAATCCACCCCTGCCTGCACTGCAGGACAGTTCTGCCACCTGCCGCTTGGCCTCCGGAAACCGTGGGGCGAGAGACGGCGAACCATGAGCCCTAGGTTCACGGTTTAGGGTTTAGGGTTTTAGGGTTTAGGGTTTAGGGTTCAGGGTTTAGGGTTTAGGGTTTTAGGGTTTAGGGTTTAGGGTTTAGGGTCCATGTGCCCCCAAAAGCAAAAAGTCTGAGCTTCAAGAACCTCTATGTATGCGTTGCATGCATGCATGTACGTACTTACTTACCACGTGTACTACGTGCATGTATGTAGGCCTATGTATGTGTAGGTATATGCGCCTGTCTCATTGGTGGTGTGCACGTATGTGCATGTGTTAGTACTGTCTTATGTATGTAGGCAGGTAGGTAGCTGTATGAGAGCATGCACCCACTAGCACAAATCACCTGCATGTGTGAACCTAAAATCCCTAATCCCTAAACCCTAAACCCTAAAACACTAAACCCTAAACCCTAAAACCCTAAACCAAAAAACCCTAAACCCTAAACCCTAATTGTTTAAAGCCTGCAGCGGACGATAGCGCAAGTGGGCACCTCCGCCACGGCCAATGCCCAGGCACGGAAGGCCAAACTCGCGAGGATGGCTTGCGCCTTGACACCTCAGGGTATACGGTTTAGGGTTTAGGGCTTTAGGGTTTTAGGGTTTAGGGTTTAGGGTTTTAAGGTCTTGGGGAGTTGGGGGGCTTAAGAGTTTAGCTTTCAAGCTTTGCGTGGAGGCCGTTGCCTGGGGCTCGGGGTTAGAACTCAAGGCTTTTATCGGATCTTGGAGGCTCAATTTACCCAGCTCCCCGGTTGTAGCCAGACACTCGGCCAGGCATTGTAACTGCCAGCGTCGGTCAATGTTGATAGGTTACCTGTGCTGCGAGTCTAGTGTTGTTTCTGGCAAGACATGGTGCATCAGCATGTACATGATATCAGGCCTCTACAGTTACAAGAAGCTACGAAGCCAGCTCCCAAATCTTTCCAAGACACTCAACCATAAACCTTAAACCCCAAACCCTAACAACCTCAGCCCCAAACTGGCCCCAAAAAAGGTTGCGTCTCCTCGGACCTTAACTGCAGTTGCAAAGTGTGCCTGGTGCCCCCGGAGCCTAGTTTATGGTTTAGGGCTTAGGGTCCCTATTCCCTAGACCACTTGTGTAAGGACATGTACATGGACATGACAATAAGTAACCGTAGACATGAAGGAGCATCTGCCGGGCTCAGAGGTGGCAGTACAGCACGAACCATGACTCGTACGTTTTGGTCCGTGTATATGATACGAACTTAAAAAAAATAGGGACGTTAAAGGGATACAGTTGTGAATGATTCAGACCTCTAAGTAACCCTAAACCCTAAACCCTAAACCCTAAACCCTGATTTGAAGGGATTAGGGTGCGCAAGGTTTAAGCGCTCGCGCGTGCGCGCAGGCTCAAGGTGCGCAGTGAAATTCAGGGGCCGAGGGCTACCGAGAAACTTATCGGTTTCGAGTTCAGGGTTTAGGGTTTAAGGTTCAGGATTTAGGGTGATAAACCCTGTTATCTACCCCTTAATTAAGGAACATACCTTAAACCATAATATCGAGGCCCTCATAATTTAAGGTAGAATGGTTGATGCTTGGGTCGGCAAAGTGTCGAGGGCCTCGGGTTTGGAATTGGGAACTTCCGGTTTAGTGCTCGAACTCCAAGTTACTACAAGCGTCGCTCTAGGGGTCTTGGGGCTCAGGCTTTATTAGGGCTTAGGGTTTAGGGTTTTAGGGTATAATATGGTCTCTATTGCAATTCCTTGTTGTGGTTCCTGGCTGTTTGTACAAGCAAACAACTGGTTCACCACTACGACCGTTCTGTGCGACAGCAGTAACCCTACACCTTACAAGCAAAAGCCTGACCCTAGACCCTGTACTTCAACTGAAATACCAAGTGGAGGTTTCCGAAAATAGGGGACCCTAATATAGTACCCTAAATGGTAGAACCTTTATTACAAGGACCCCAAAATAAGGTACCCCTTATCTTCGAAAAATCCCAAACTTGCAAACTCCACAATCCAAATCCAAGAAGCTCGAACCCCCCAAACCTTTCAGCCTTGAAGCAGCAGCGAGAAAGGCCAGAAACCCGGTAAGCCCAAGCCCTAAACCCTCAACCCTAAACCTTCAAATGGCCGGCGGCCTACTCTTGCGATCTCCTGGCGTAGTTCGTCAGTCCCAACCTGCATAGACGAGGCTTCCCCCTAACCCTGAACCCAAACCAACGGTTTAGAGTTTCGGGTTTAGGGTACTCAGTGGTCGTAAAGTTGCCTCTGCCCCAACTCCTGCAGTAGCCCAGCCATGCGCAGCAAACGACCTTGATCCCAGACCTACATGACAAACGACTGTGCTCTAGAATCATAGCTACCTACATAGCACTGCAAACAGAATAGACTCTGCATAGAGCTCCAAGACGCAAAAAAACACCACATAGGACATAGGCAAGTGGGCTGCTGGAGTACACCCTCAGAATGCATACTTCGAATCCGTAAGCTCTGAAAGCGCTGTCGAAAAAATAAATGCAAGCCCCAACAATTCGCTAGTTAAACCGCCCCAAATCCTACATCCAAAACCCTTCACCCTAAGCCCAATCCAAAATTTAACTAAGCCTTAGGAGGGCGGCGGGGGGGGGGGGGAAGGTTCTTACACAGGCATATAGGATTTCAATAGCGGGCCACAGGGTGTTACAGGGCTATCTACGGTCTTCTCGCAAAGGCTTACAATCCTACACCCTTAGTTGCAGCAAAGGTTTACAATCCTACACCCTTAGTTGCAACAGCAGATCGCAATGAACAACTTACCACAAAACCCTACATGCCTCCACTAACAAACCTACACACCCCGATACAATGCTTTCAAGGCTTAGGCTTCTGTACCATAAACCCAAAAATCTAAACCCCAAATCCAAAACCTAAGACTATAAACCCCTAAGACCTAAACCCTAAACCCTAACCGTAGATGAAGCCGCAAGCCTTCGTCCAAACTCGCCGCTGGTTGCGTGCGCCCGGGAAGAACTGCAGGCGGGCCTGGGTGTGATAGGAGTGTCGAAAGAAAGGGTTTCAAAGGGTTTTCTTGGGATTTCATAAGGGGTTTCATAAGGGTTCCAGAGAAATTTATGAGGGTACCATTTTCAGAAAAGTGTTATGTATGACGATGCAAGGGTTTCATACGCGTGGTCGAAGGGATCCAGAAAATTGGGGGCTTGATCGTTGCAATAGGGTTTTGGTGCAACTCTAAACATCCATCAGAGTTTGTTCAAATCCTATACAAACATATCGTTAAGCCCTAAACCCTAAACCC